CTACATGAGAAGATAATAAACGTTTAATAATTAGTTTTGCATTAGTTTATACATGATTTGATTTTTTATCATTTGATCAAATTTAAATATTATTACTAGAAATCGATCAAAGTATCTTGATAACTTATAAATATGCTAATATAATATAAATATAAATATAATATAAATATGCTATAGTTCAGGTATCTTAGCTCATAATTTATAGTTTATTGATCATTATAGATAAAAATAATTCTTAAGAACAATTTTCGACAATTTTGCTTTCAAATATAATTCATACCAATCAATTTACTCCCCATTTCGTGATTATATAGTGTCTTTTTGCGCAAATAAAGTCTTGCTATATTAATCGAGAAAATTCCCTAGATAAACCTAAAGTTACTATGTACATTTGTTTATTTCACACACATTTCTACATGTTGTTGAATCGAGTTTTACACGTGTATTTTCATATTTTAATTTATGGTGGCGAGACGCGCGTTTCAAAAATATTTCACACGAGCGTTTACGAGCGAGTTTTCCACGCGGTGAAGATTTTGCGCGAGAAACGAGTCCGACGAAGCAGAGCGCAGAAAGTATCATCGCGGTCGGGAGAGTTGAAGAGATAAAATATGAAAAGCAAAGGGGGAGGCGTAACTTTACATCTTTTGCGGATTTCATAAAAATTCTCATCTCTTGTACCACTTTTCTCTTTACACCAATACAAACACTTGCTGCTTTTCAATCTTTTCTTCGAGCCGTATCCTTTTGTGGATGAATTAACTTTTGTTTTGTTTTTTTTTTATTTAAACATTGATTAATCCATATTATATATCTACGTAGCAGCAAAATAAAAGTATTGAATTAGTTGCAGATGAAATAATTGAATTCTTGATAAGATAATTAATATAATTTTGTTTAAAATAATAGCAAGTAGAAATTTAGAAAAATTCTATCTTTTTAATTAATAGAACTTCTTGATTCATTTTTTAATGTATCTGTTGATTTAAATTTTATATACTAATGATAGTTATTTTTCTTTTCTTTAATTTAATTATATGAAAATATTACTAATATTACCAGCAATTTTTTCACATTCTCTTTTAATTTATAAAAATAAAATAATTTATAAAACATTCGAATTCTATCCTGATTTTGAATATAAAAATACTCATTGTTCAAAAGTTATCTAACGTAACCTACTCATATTTCATTTTTATTCATCGAGTATTACGAGAAAATGTTTCAACATAAAGTTTAACAAAAATTTAAGAGTAACAAATGAATTTGATAGCATTTCCTTGTCTCTATTGTATATCCATTAGGTGATGTTTCATTCAACTTGATTTCACATGATCGTTAACCGTGGAAGGAATGAGAAAAAGTGTCATAGTTGAACAATAATAGCGATATTATACGCTATAGAAAAATAAAACTGTCTGATCAATGAATGTAACGTAAAATACGATAACGTATGATAAACGTGATAGTTTAAATCTTTGAGAAAATATATTTTCTTATGAATCGACTACCATTGGTCATACGAATGGTTATTTGTGTTTACGCAATCACTATATTATTACATATGGAGAATTAGAGCGGACGTTATGTTTAAAATAAGTCGTGGAAATAAAGCATGTCGTAGTTAACACATGGCATGATGTATTATAATATAATGTCGAGAATTATATCATCAAATAATAAAGAATAATTATGTAACAAGCAAAAGAGATAATAATAATAATTTACTCTCTAAATTAATTAAAATCTTCTGAATTTTGGTTCTTTAACTTCTTTTTCTTCGTGCAAACAATCATATTTTTTTTTTTTTTTTTTTTAATAATTTGCTATAGATAATTTGGATCTTTCATTCTCGAATCTGAAAAAAATATGGAATATTTATAATTATTTTCAATAAAATTAAAAACTTATTTTGAGAAATTTAATAATAGAATTTTAATGAAATTCGATGTTTAATGACCCAAATTGTTCAGAAAGGGTTGAAAATTCTTTTCCTGCAATTTTTAAAAAGTACGAATGCATTTGAGAGCGGAATTCTGGAGAGTTGTTTTTGAGAATATTTTCCGCAAATAGACATTGCATTGAGATTAATAGTCCGACAAACAGTAACTTTCACTGTCAACGTAGCTGAAGAACAACCCTCGAGAATTTTATTCTCAAATGTATTCGTACCCTTAGTTACTAACTTCCAATTATTACACCCCAGAGTTATTATACGCCTAGAATTATTATTCTAGTAGACGATTGACTTTTCGAGAATAATTTTCATTCTCAATCTAATTTCCATTACCAAAAAACAACTTCTGAAAATTTTACTAGTCAAATTCGCGTTTTAACTCTTCAAGAGTATAATAATAAGGTAACAAATATTTAGAAAGAATCACATTAGAAAGTAATCATTTAGAAAGTAATCTGTATAGGATTGAAAGTAAATGCCTGCAACTTTAACTGTTTCATATGAGACATATTTTTCTTTTGGCAATGAATACAAAATCTATTATAATAGCACGAAATATAATATATTTAAAATATATAATAGATATAAAATAAAATAGATATAATATATAATAGATATAAAATAGATAAATATATAATATATAATATATAAAAATAGATTGAATCTAATTTTCAAAATGAAATTAATAATCTCACTTCTAATGGAATATGTTTCAGTAGATTTCTTCTTGTAATACAGAAGGAAAAATTGTAACAACTCCAAAATTTATGTAATAATTATTTGAGAAATAATGTTTTCATTGAGCTACGTTTTAGGAAATTTTTAATCAATCAATCAACATCAAATTATACACTTTATTTCATTGAAATTTCTATTTTTAAAATCAAATCATGATCTATAAATTGCCTAATATAAGTATATACAACTTCAATCTGAAAAGAAATGATTTCATCTGTTCGAGATGTTTTTGCTAAAGATTTTCATCTTTTCGATGAAATTTGCAGTGAAACTTTGTTTGTACAAAATAAATTATCTACGTTAGTACTTCATTACGTTTAAATAAATCGGGAATCTTGATTGATATGAAACCAAGTCCAAGTAAAAAATTGATACAGGGTGCAAAGTTGTGGAAGAAAGTTTGTGTAGCCATGTGCATGACCCGTGTCTACAGAAAACTGTAACGAATTCTCGCGACTTTTCTCCACAAATCTTGCTTTTGCGTTTAGCCAACAGCTGCGACGTTAATACCGATCCTGTATTATGCATTCCTATCCTTTTCGAGAATTTATCGAGACGAAAACATATCCACCGACTAAGTGATATATCAGTCTTCAAGTTTTATCCAATGTAACTTTAGCAAAAAAAAAAAAAAAAAGAATATTAATAAAATCTACACGTATTTTCCGAAATATATTTTCGTTCGATGGAATTATAGATAATATCGAAATCGAAAAAAATCCTTGAGCCTTTAAAAATAAAAAAAATTCTTAAATTATTTAACATTATTCGCAATTTATTACATCTACCTCATGACTATGACTTCCTTTTTTCATTGATCATTGTAATATTACATATCATGGAGAAAGGATATCATCTCAAGTCATGGAATAAAACTCTGTAGAATTGAATTGTATGTAAAAAGTGATTCTACCTTGGAAATTTGTTGATGATATTCCAGTTTGACTATGCTCCTTGTGTTCAAAGTTTATAAAGACCAGTGGGCGAGAACTACCTTAGTGAGAGTATTCCCTTGATTTCCGGTGTTTCGTATTCTCCGTGTCAACAATGTTAACAGTTCAATTATATATTCAGCCAACAGTTAGACATATAATTCTTGAAAATATTCGAACAGAAAAATATAGTTTAAATGAAAATTTATGTCTATGTAAAACTTAATAAATTATTATAATTATGAATAAAATGAGTTCTTAAAGTTTCAACACTTTCTTTGTGTTTTAAACAAAATTTTGTTTGAAAATTTTTATTGGGTGATAAAGCGTTAAATTCTGAATAGCGTTAAGTTCTGAATTCTTTTCAATTCAAAACTTTACTGTATTTTGCATTATTACAGAATTATGTTTAAGAAAGCGAAAAGATTTTTTTCTTAATGTATGATAGTTACAATTCAAATTTCATTTTTTATCAATATTATTATCTTCGAAATTAGCACATTGACATTCGATCAACCGCGTCAATCGCAAGGATTTCCTCTGAAGCATTGACTGAAAGAAAATTAACAGAAATCCCTGGATCGTTTTTATTTTATTTTATTTTATTTTTCTATAGAGATTTATGCAAGAACACCAGATACCAAACTGAAATCAAATTATAAACCAAATTGAGTTAAAATGTGATACAATTACGTCTCAAATACATATAAATATATATATATATATATTTATTCTCAAAATTTTCAAGATCTAAAATTTAAAATAAATTGATAATCGTGTCATATTTATAAATTCAAACATTTATTTTAAATTTTATTTCATAAAAAAATTTTTTTAGGTTAAAGTTACAAAATTGTTTGTTCGAAATACTATTATTTGAAATATTATTATTATTTTTCTTATCTCAATAAAATACTTATTTCAAAAAAGTATTTGTATGAATTAGTATTAAAATATATAAAATAGTTTTTTTTAATTTAAATATCATTTCAAAAAAAAATTCTATCACTTAAGGAAATAAAAATATTCGTTCTCATTTATTATTACTTACTTATTATTTATTTTTCTCAATCTTTATTTAAACAAATAATTATTTAACCAAAAAATGACTTCCAATATATGTATCTAAATGCACTTCACAAAAGCATAAAGTTTCACGAAAACTTTAACTAAATCGCAAACTATCCTTGTTCTGCAAAGACACACACCAACATATAATAAAATAGTCCATTTTTATCGTATAAGTTTCGATAATATGAACAAATTTCTCGAGTCAAATTCGCGATTTTAGTTTTCTTAGTTTTTTCATAACCATGAATATTACTGTAATTTGCATTACGGTGTCCGAGATATTATCGAAACAAACGAGATGGTTCGAATCGATTCGATCTGATTCGCGTTCGATTGAATTATTCGATGCACGTTTCGTGTGCAACATTTTTAATTTAAGTTTGACGGGATCGCGTTCTGTTTTTTTCTCTGGTATGGTCGATTCGTGAATAGATTTCAAATGGGACCAAAACGCATCAGTAATAACGGTACCAAAATTATGTTACTTCATCGAATAGAATGTATATCATCGATAACATACGGACATTAAGATAGAAATTAGGTTAGAAATTCTACGATCACGTAGTGTCGACTTGTCCTCCATAATCGATAAACTTTTCTTTTTTCTTTTTTTTCTTCAAAAGATCGGAAAAGCAGTTGACGAATTGGATAAAGATCAAAGAAGAATCGTGACTTGAAACAACAAATTCGTACTCTTTCAATTATAATGAAATAACGACATGTGAGACAACATTAGAAATTATTATAACAATGTTAGTATCGCAGTGATTAGATATCAATTTAACTTTCGCTATATTTTTTTATATTCATCATCTTATAGAAGCTTTTGATGTAAAATGGTTTGTTTATTTTTTTCAATATAACTGATCTAATTAACCTAAAATATCGGTACTTTACGAATGGTAAGAAATTTATATTTTTTTTATTATTTGGTATTTATATGTTATCATATATATCATATACTTGTTAGAAAAGTGATACAACTTAAGAATTACGACTTAAGAATTAATTGTATGATTGTCATATTTAAATTTAAATATTATTCCTCAAATAGTGATTCAATATTATTATATTTTAATATTATATCAATTTATGTTATTTGCAATTCTGTACAATGAAATATGAATTTTTTTTATTCTTAGATAATTTTATAAAAATAAATTGCTAATCTTTTGAGATTTTTGATTAATGATACCTAAACTTTTATAAATCTAATTAAATGTAATAAATGTTAGTTGCTGATTCGTATATTTTATTTGAATCGCATGAAATTAATCTAAATTTCAAATATGCTTAATAAGCAGCTACAAATTTGTTCGAAAAATATGTAACTTTACTTATCACTTTTAGTGTTTTCATAATTTAGCAAACACTATCCATTGAATGTAGATCAAGTGTTTGCATCATGCAACTACTTTCGAGATTAAAAAAGACGGATAAAAATAAAAAAATATATTGTTCATTTTTTGTCATTATATTAATTTTGTGTCTCAAATTTTCTTCTAGCAAAAAAAAATTTTCCGGCGATCCTTCTTCAAACAGCGCAATTTATATGTATAAAAATATTTATTTAAAATTTTCAAACTTAATACAGTTTTTATTTGACATAAAATGAACAATATTTTCTAACTAAAAAACATAATATTTGGAGTGAGAAATGGCAACAAGTGATTCGAGAAGTGGTAATCCTTGAATAACACAGTACTTCATTTTTTACAATTTTAAGAAAAATTTTTTACATTTGATTAAAATTTTATTATCAGATTTATCATATTTCCTATTAGAATTATCTTAAAAACTTTTGTGAAGGGATTACATGTAAAAATTTATTTAAACAGAAAGAGCTTACTATTGTGTACCGATTTGATGATACATTTGACAGTGTTAAACGTGTTAACAAATATTCAGATCATTATTTATTCCTGTTATCAACAATAACTTTTTTTTGAATTTCAGGTTATCAGCAGGATCAGAATGAAATTTATTTACTGATTTTCAATACACGAATCATCACATATATATGATTCTAAGTCATATAACATGATTTTGAATAACACGGAATCAATTAATCGTATTATTCGAGGATTTCATATATATCGTAAGGTATGTATATCGTTGAGGTATGTAAGATTATATATCGTTTGATTTTATCGTACGTACCTCTAGAAACATATTTCTATACATATTTTAATAGTTTGAAATCAAATAAATAGATAAAACAGATGAATATTACACTGTCAAAAGTAAATAGAATCACGTCCTGCATAAATCGTTCGAAGTTTGAATTTCGACAAAAAAAATGAAAACGAACGAAAAGATGTTTGAAGCGCGTCGCGTCGCAGACTGAAGTTTTGCGATGAGTTTCGTAGGTTGGATGCCGGGACGCCAGGATACCGAGGACTTCGCGACGCATGCTCCAGGATGTTACATGACATAACGGATGTATTTAACATAGAATTTAAATGCAAAGAATTTCAAGGATTTTATCAATGATACATGAAATATTTAATCTAAATTTTTAAATTTGTTGAAATATACAATTTTTTAATCATAATTACTAAAATTATATTACATTGTTTAAGATTAGATTAAAAATAAATATATTTATACATATGGAATATTTATTACATGGAATATTTTTATAGGAAAGGAAAATGATATTAATTGGAATTTATAAAAAATAATAATAAGAAGGAATTTGCTAGAATTTCTGCAATTCATTACAAAATATAAAACAAAATTTGAAACTCATCTTTCCATCCTCTTGTACTAAAACGATTATGTGGAACAATTTATTACTCACACGTTTACTTCGTGGCTTACGATCCAATACCATCTTATTAATGCGAGGCTGTCGGGATCGGAGATGGAAGCTGAAATAGTGAATGAGCCATCCTAAAGGTTATCGTAGTTTTTGAACATTCGCCTTGAAAAAGCATCTTTGTTGAAAAATTCAGACTTTTATTGATTATTATCGTCTGAATCAATGATATACTTTTTTTAATATAACATATAAGAGAATTTAATCTATATACACAAAAATTTAAATCATAAATGAGAAAACAGTTTTTGATAATATTTTTTCTTGAATATTTTGTTTGAAATGATCATTAGGATTATGCCAAGATTATATAAATATCAAGAAATATTTTATCTCTCTCGATTTATGCAAAGATTTATTCGTTATACATAATTTTTATTTTTATGCGGAAGAAAACCATAAATAAAATTTACTAATTATGAAAAAACTGATATAATTTAATAAAAATACTAGTGATGCAATTACAAACGAGATAGAATAGATATAACATACATTTTTTTTTATCACGTGAGTTAAGGACTTTAAAACCATTACCATTTTAATATCACTCTCAATATCGATACAATATAACATAAGATTGTAATATTTAGAATTAAAATTATATTTTAATATGAAATCACGAATAAAATCTTTTTTTATTATACAAAAATTTAAGATATTATTTCTATAAATATAAACAATCTACGTAAGTGATAATATATGTCCAAGACCAGTGGTTTCATAATTTATTATAAAATATTATCAGTTATCGTATAATTTTTCATTACGATTATAATATAACAATTTATCTAAGTCTATTTTTAATAATTTTTCATATGTTTATACATACATGACAAAATTTTTTATCAGTCGATTTTTTACCTTTTCAAATAATTTTCGAATATTCATTTTTTTTTTAATGCTTATTAATAAATATATATCTATTAATAAATAAAATCAATAAATTCTATTTAAAGTTTAAATAATATTTGTATAACTATTTTATATTTCTTAATCATAAAGAAGTAATAGGAAATGGAAATGTAGTTTTGAGGGAAACGAAAGATTTCATAAAAATATCCATTTTATTTTTTTCAACTTCATTTTTTACGTGTCCCTTTTATTACATATAATAAAGTACTAATAATAACAGATATAACGGTAATTTACTATAACGCGTATACAGTACATATAATAATAGTAATAATAACCACAGTATTTCATAATGGGACACATTAAACATTTTAAAACATATTATTTTTTTTTGACACAATAATTATCTCTATATAAAAGGTTATCAAGTGCTTTACAAAAAATGGATCACACCGAATTTGGTGCATCGATTATCACAAGATTGCTAAAGCGCCACAGCGCAAGTCCTTCCTTCAAAAAAAAATAAGTTTGTTATGAGAAACACAAATGGAAATGTTTCTCCATTCTCACTAAATGCCTAAGAAAAATCAGCTACAGCAAGATGTATATCAAAACACGAATTTACTCTCATTGAGCTTGCATTTAAGTATGATTCTAAACATATAATCACATTATATCGCGTATCCAAAACATTAAATTTTTAAAACCATCTATATTAATTTTTTCCAATAACTATAATTTTCTACCAGTAATTATAAATTACATTAAATTTCAAATGGTTACATTTTGAGAAGCAGATGATATATCGTATTTATATAACAAAATCTATTGTGGAATGAAATATATGAAAAAAATGATATTAAGTGTTGAACCGAACGATTTCGATATAAAATTAAATCCAAATTAAGATCAATTAAAAATGTACCGCAAATTTAGTATATAAAAAAGAAACACAATATGTGTTCTTATAAATAAAAAGAATTTTTCTGTTGTACAAAATATACAAAATAAATTTAAAGATTGATGATGGTACTTTAAATTACGTATTTTTGTCTTCGTTTGACAGGTTTTAAACTTCGTTCACACTGGGTGTTATTTTTGACTGCTGGCACTGTTTTAAAATATTAAAAGACAAAAAATGAGTCTTTTATTTTTGTTACTTTATACTGAAATTGTTATATTACGACTAACTTCTACATTATTCAGTGGTAATCATGAGAAGCTTCCGTCTTATTAAACAAACAGTCTCTCTCCTCCTGAGTAGATGGAATATCTGAAGTTACGGGCCTTAAAACTTTCGGAACTTTGCTAACTTTACTGAGACCTTCAGTGATACCACTACCTCCGGAAACACTAGAAAAAAGACTGAGATCGTCACATTAGAACTGGCCAAAATGTAAATAATAAAATATATAATAAAATGTAAATAATAGAATTAAAAAATTCCAAATCTAAATTAATCAAATAAATTTTAATAATAAATAAATAATAAAAAAAATAATAAAATCAAAGCACTGTCTTTAATATGATAATGGGATTTTTTCAAATATACATAAAAAAATATTAAATAAAATGAATACTCACACGACATCCATCTCATCATCCTCATCAGCTTGAATCTCATCATTAGTTAATGTAAAATATGGATTTGCGGATGCTGCTCGGAACTTATATCCAGTAAGGACAAAAAAGACATATGTAGACATTTCTCGGAACATTTCATCTAACCATTCATATTGAAAAGGTACTGTAATCTATAAAATAGAATATCGAAAATAAGATCTTTTTCAAATGAAGCAATGAAAAGAAATAACGGGAAACGTAATTACAATAATGAAAAATACCTTAAGTAAGTACACTATAATTCTTGTAAAGTAAATATAAGAAAATATCATAATATAGAAATGTTTAAAGAGCTTAAGTTTGCGTAAATTAACAGCTGCCTTGCCATCTATATGAGCAGCTTCTTCTACATGTTTAATACTCCAAACTACTGGAAATATAATAGCACCACAACAAAGCAAGTCCACAAGAATAAAAACATCTCGCCACGTTTTGTATTCAATATCTCCTTCTTCACTTTCTTCGATTATTATTTCTGCCACATTTGCTAATACCTAAAAAAATAATATTTGTAAGATATTTATCTATCATTTTCCTCATTTTATTTTTCACTATATTAAATACAGGATTGATTCAATTACAGAAAGAGGATCACTTAAATATCTTAAATATCATATTCTTATGAAAATGTATATATTCTTATATTTTTTTCAATATCTTTCTTGTAAGATATGAAAGAATATTGAAATTCAACGATCTTAAGCATTCCAATTAAAATTTTCGCGCAATATTTGGAATGATATAATCATTTAGCAATTACCATATTTATATGATTTTAATAAAATTAAAATATCTCCTTCTTTTTTTCTTATATATCTTATCTATTTAATTCTTATAAACATTAAATGATTTTATCTACAAAAGATTTCGATCGAAATTATAATAACTGAAGATATCGATTTTTTTATCATTCGTTTTATATTTATTTTCGCATTTCGAAAATCTAAAAAAATACAAGTTCTTTTATAAATAGATACTAACAAATATGATAATTTTTATGGAACGCTCAAATTTTGTATGGATTAAGTGGGATATTTCAAATCTGTAATTCATAAAGAATTAAATAGCTTTTTGACTGATTCACCCGTTATATGTATTAGTAATGCGATGTGTTTATATCAACAAAGATAAGTAGTGATCACATGTTTATACTATCACAATTGCATATGTATAAACGAAATTCTATGTAATAGTAGCAGTTTTGTCTTTTTTTTTTTTTTTTTTAACTATTAAAAATACATTATTTTTTCGATCTTTGCCGATTGATTTTTTATCTATCTATCTTTTATCTATGATAAAACAATAAAACGAAATTATTTAAAAAAAAATTGTAGTTAAATAGTTAAAATCGAGAAAAACCGCTAAACTGCATAATTATTAATTATTCTAAGAAATTTTTTTATATAACAATAAAACAAAGTGATTTAAGTGATCCTTTTTATAATATTTTTTTTTATACTAACTTGTAATGGAATGGCGATCATAAAAAGTTTCTTATCTTTATCAGCTAAAATATGTTTAATAAATGTCCACCCAGTACCAATTAATACAATTGTTATAAAAAGTACGGCTCCTTTTAACAAATGTGTAATATAATATAAGATCGCCCAAGCTGCAACGTGTTCTCCTTTCGTTTGAATAAAATGATAATTAATTCCATGGAAGAGTAATGACATTGATTTTAGATATACCAAAACCGCCATTAAATAATGAATTTTAAAAACAGGATGCCTAAATGAACAATAATATGTTAGAAAACGAACAAAAATTTTATCATAATTGTAAAAATATTGTTCAGAATTAAAAAAAAATTCTTACTTGCTCTTTTTAAGGATATATACCCAGAAACATCCTGACAAAAAGAATAAAAGTGCCATCATAAAATAAAGAGCTGGTAAAGGCATTTCTCCTGCACTTAGAAAATTTCCACTATTTATTTCCGATATTTGTATCTGTAAATTATATTTTCTTAATACATATTAACATATTATAAACGTTTTCAATCAATTAACATCGTGAAAAAAAAAAGGAGGATCTTACCGTGAAATCCAATGCAACTTGAGAATCATATTTATAATTTGGACAATTATGGAAATGAAGATTATAAAGACCTTCTTCTTCTTCGCTAGCGACATACATAGCAAAACTTGTATTATAATATCTTTCTCCTTTTACAATTTGTACCGTCATTGATAAATTTAAAGAACAAGCGCTACTTTCTGATCTGGATTCATATTCATCTTCGGTATTGAGTCTTTCGATATCTATAAAAATTTTACTAATTAATAAATTAACAATAAATAATACTTTTAAAAAAAAATAAATATATAAATTTATAAAAAATTAAAAAATTTTCATACACTAAAAGTACATGAAAAAGTTTTTTTTCTTTTGTACATATATTAAAAAAACTTAATCGAGTATAATTTTGGCCTCAAGTTTGGGATATAATCTCATTCATATGTCATTGCCATAAAATATACTACTGTAGAAGACAGTTACCTAACCAAACCTTCAAAAATAGTTGAGTTTCAAGTTATTTATAAAATTGAGGACGACTCATGTTAATTATAGCGACTCTCATCTCGGTAGTGTTCGATCGCCGATGTCGCTTCAGGTCCACATTCCATAAGATATCGATCAGAGTCGTTTTTAGTTTCATAATCGTGGAAATAATGTTCATTAAATGCTAAAGAAATTTTTGTTGAACAATATATGCATTAGAGTTTTGAGTATAACTCGAGTATAACTTTTATGAAAATTAGAAAGCCGTATCATTATGTTTTTATAAATATCGTATGACGCATTAAAGTCAAAATCAATTTCGCCTTAAGCATTGTACAGTGTTGATATGTTTCTCTGTGATATGTTTTCTCAATGAATAATCAATTGAATATTAACTGTCAGATGAAGTAGCACAAGCTCAATGATATATATACATCACACAATTGATTGAAAATGTTTGACATTTGTATTATCTTATTGACAGGTCGTATGATTCATTATTCTTTTATCGTGCAAAGAAATGTATACTACATGTATATTCATTATAATTTCTAATCTTTGATGATAATCTTTAATGATGTAATATTAAATTCCTATGATTCCTACAATATGATAAAAATACACATATAAGATATATATCTTATATTATATATATTTTTATATTGTAAAACAGATAGATTATATAGAAATGAAAATTATTTTTAATAATGTATAAAAATAATGTAATCTTTTTAATTTTTTAAATATTATTCAATATTATTTAATGGATGACAATGAAAATAGTTCTTGCATTTTATAAAATTAAAATCTTTATGAAATAAATATATATATGTATGTATGTATGTGTGTATGTGTGTGTATATATATATATATATATATGCAAATTAGTAGAACAATATGAAATATGCGGAAATTTCAATGTATCACTAAGTTATACTTTATTCATTCAACAAGATATTTCCCGCGACTACTTCCTACGTTTGGATGCCTGCCAAAGTTAAGAGTGTAAGTACTAAGACAAGTATTAAATCCTTATCGTTTCATATTAACATCGTTATTCTTTTATGTTAATATTTTTTAAATGTTATTTTACAAGAAATCAATAAAATTTTGTTAATTTTAATATAACGAAAAAAAAGATTTATTTAATTATTTAAGAAATGGTTTCACAAAAAAATAAATTTTTAATTAGAATTTTATTATAATATATTTGTAATTGAATTTAATCAGATTTTATTCTGAATTCGAGTAAAATTTTGAATAATTTAAAAATTTCAAATAATTGATGTAATATTTGATTTTAATAGGAAGTTTATTAAATAAAAATTAAGTTTGTGTAATTAGATTAATTGACCGTATTAAAAAACTTCAACTCACCATACGGAGTATAACGTTTTCTTCGTGGAAAAAGCACGGCATCGCTAAATCTATTTGGAAAAGAATCTCTTTTTTCTCGAAAAATTAATATTTTGCTGGAATCTTTGTAAATATGTGCAGTATGTACGTTTCGACTACAATTTACTCTCAATCTGAAACACATTTGTTCATATTAGTTTATATCAGCAAATTTATAAAACAAGTGTAATAATGTATCAAGATACAATCTACAAACGAACGATACATACACATTGTTCTTTAAGTCCATTGTGAAATATATGACTGCGCTGTCATTTCTCTGTTCGAAATCCGGCTTGACGCTCGAAATTTCTTGGAGTACACATCTCTCTTGATGACTGTCTAAATAAGGATTCATTGCATCGCTCAAAGTTCGATCCAAACTGAATCCAAACTGAATCATAAAAAATAGAAATTAGAAAGTTAAACAAATGAAGATATTAAACGAATTCAAACAATTTTTAAATAAATAATAATTAAAAAACTCTTTGAAGTATTAAGTATCAAATACTTTATTGGAAATTTAAAACATTTTATATTAAAAATAAAATAAATGATGTGTATTCTTAATTTACTTTTATTTTACTTAATTTACTTTTAATTTTTTAAATAGAAATATCAATATTAAATTATAATATATTAAATTTTTGAAAGTATCGAAATATATCGAAATGTATCGAAATGTTATTTGACAAGCATATATATGTAATTTTTATAAAATACTTTGAAAAAAAAGTAAACACTGTTAAATCCTTAAAATAGAAATATTTAGTCAAGTCAGAGAATGAAAGAATTTTTATTCATTGGGAGTATTTAATATATTTAATTTTTATAGAATAATTCATGAATTTTCTAATTTTCACAAATATTCATATTTTTTGTCTGATTTTTACTCTTTTTTTTTACTCTAGGTAATTAAATTTTCATACTTTAAGAGCTTACAAGAAATCGTTTTACCTATTTAGCCATTATTGTCTTACAACAACGACTGTGCATTTAACATGCAACATCCTATATAAGTTTATTCTATTTTTCAAGAAACAATAGTTAATTAAATTAAAGTGATGACATTAAAATAATGTATATAAATATATTTTTATCAACGATTACATATGATATTCGTGTTTAAATATAGATAATCAGAAATAATTTCGAATATTTTTCTAATAATAAATTAGCAATAAGAAAAATGAAAACAGGTGTCTATAGATGAATGACGAAATAATTTTATGTGAATATGTTCACGTCATATGTACTTAATTACTTACCACAGCATTCTCATCAAAAGGCTCAGCTTTGAAGTTTGTTAAATTTACATCGAGAGTACCTCCCTTATAGAAACCAAAGGTACTAAGAGAAATATATCGCCTTACATCTTTCTGTAACATACAACATTCATAAACACATACATATAAGCGTAGAAAAGTTCCGTAACCTACAACTAAGGAACGAGAAAAGAAATTCTTTTCAGAAATGATAGTTTATACAATCATTATCTAACTATGATTTATATATAATTTAATTTTTTATTAGATCTTTGCAGAAATTTTTTATATTGTTTAATATACTTGAGATGTTTAGATAGCTATAATTTTAAAATGTAAATGTCGATATAATATTACAATATACTGTTCGTTTACATAATTTATAACTTTTTTGCAACTTAAAATTTATCGTGTTATATGTAAAAACTATATAACGCATTTAATTTTATGACCGGTTAAATAACGATTGACGTAACAAAAGAATTCTAATAAACTAATTGGTAAATATACTCGCGTTATTGCTGAAGATTGCTTGTACTAACCCGTATTTCAAGTTTGTGAATTCTACCCGTTACTAATACGAATATTGTCATAGTCCAAAGACATTGTATCACTAATCGTTTCGATTGCATTTTTATTATTTTTCACCAGAGAAATGTCACATCACGAAAATACAAAATAATCATATCTACAACACTCAACCTTCTCTCATCGATACATGAGCAGAAACTGAGCTTGAACAGCAGGAATATGATATTTGATGGACGGAACGTACGAATTGAACTAGGCGCAATTTTTAAAAGTTTCATTATTAGCAATTATTGGTTTATTGTCATTGTAATAAATATAATGTATATACATCGTTTATATTATAAAAATTCAAGTGTTCATTGAAATTCAAATAGCAATACAATATAAAATAAAAATTTACCAAAAATTATAATTTATGTAATTTGTTTTTAAAATAATTATTAATAATTAAAATTACAATTATAGATAATCATATTTAAAACATAATATATGATTATCATCAATCTTCTTATGTTTATTTAAACAGAATATTTTGAATTGTAACGGTGACTTTATATGGATAGTGTTTACTTATTTTTAATTGGAATTAAATTTTATTGTTTTAATGTTATTAGGCTAGAAATTTATAAGAATATAACATTATTTTAGTAAATTGTTTAAAACATATAATCTAAAATACAAACTAAATATATGCAGAAATAAAAAAAAAACAAAACATATTATTGGGGTTATGTTACATTTGTCGATTTCATTGTATTATTTGAGTTTTATTATTTATATATAACTATTGATATGGAAAAACATTTTGCAGCATTAAAATTATTCGATTCAGATTCTGATAAAATATTAACAGAAGCACTTAATTATTCTGAAACGCCATCTTCTTCTCGAATTTGTTTAAATCAAATTTATCGGTCTAAAAGTCAGTCTAACTTGGTTAGACAATATAGTTATGAACAAATTTTTAATGAAAATATAACTTCAAAGTAAGAACTATTGTGCACAGGTAACAAAATGACATAAGTAATTAATATTTTTTTTTATTTCAGACAAATAAAATTACCAGAATTTGCGCAAACTGGCAATAGAACTATTAATTATCAAACAACGGAATTTTATTATAGCCCGAATAAATCTCTTAATAGACAGTTTTCCAAAAGTAGTAATATATTACAAGCACCAAAATTTGTTTTAAACAAAACATCAAATGAAATATCCTCTAGTACAAATAATATAAATGAATCAAAGTCTTTGTTATATTGTCCTATAAAAAATACAATAACAAATGTGACAGATACAAAAAATGAAGTTGAAGACTTATCATCTGTAAAAATAAATAATTGTGAAGAAGTACATACTATATCAGAAGTAAAAGATGTTACAAAAATTATAGACGAAAAGACGTATCAAAATATAAAAAAGAAATTTAGACCATTAGTAATGAAGAATAAAATTGCTCAAAAAAAAAAGACAAATATGTGTTATTATAGTTGTTTAACTTTAGGTATATTACCAGTAATTGCAATCATATTTGCATTACTGTTAGATTTAAATCTACCCACATTTTGTGATCGTGCTATGATTTTTTCAAATGCTAGTCAAGAATTACAACAAAAAATACATGGACAGGAAAATGCAATTTCACAAATTATTAATCATTTAAATCAAGATTTCTTTTATTTGAAAGTTTTATGTCTCATAGGTGGAACAGGAGTTGGAAAATCTTATACTGTCGATACAATAGCAAAACATTTTCCTTTTAGAAAAGCAATTCATACATATGATGCACTGTTAGATTATTCTATGGATATGAACATGTTAAATTCATTACCTTCATATCAATTATTTATTATGGAAAATTTAAAAATAAAAGATTTGGATATCTTTTCTAATATACTAGATATGCTAAGTCAAAAAAGAGATAAATGTATTACAATAATAGCAATTTTTAATGTAGAAGAAATAAATGATAACTTAGAAAGAAAAATAGATTTAATACAAAGTACAAGTAAAATTCAAGAAATACTGATTAGGAAAAAAATTGATAGTTTAATTGTTCCTTATCAACCTTTGAGTGAAGAAACATTACAGACTTGTATAATAGAAGCAGCAACTGCTAGTGATTTAACACTTACATTGGATCAAATAAATGAAATTAAAGAAAGCTTATTACAGTTTGGCAGTGGCTGCAAAGGAGCCTATGCTAAGGTACAAATTATTGATAAACACTAAAGGTCAGTTATGAATTTTTTGAAATATACATTTTCTTTTCTCTAAAAAAAAAAAAAAAGAAAATGTTCAAGATTAAAATCTATAAATTTTGCTCAAGATAATCAATATTTTGCATTAATAGAAGAAATATATTTGTATGTTTTATATGTTTCTATAATAGATATAATATTGCTGTCATTTATAAACTAATTATTGAATATCAATTAAATGTAAATTAATTAATATATCTTTATATAAATATCTCTCTTATATATTATTTCATATAGTGCTATTTCATATATGGCTTTTATATTAATTAAACAGTACATAATATAGAATTATAAATTTTGATTATTTTAAATTTAAAGAAGAAATACTCTATTAATATAAATTACATAAAAAGTAATTATATTATTTTTTTTACATTAAACATGAATTAATATATGTAAATTCAAGATTTTATTTTGAAAGAAAATGTACTTTTTTATCAGAATAAATAAAATGAAATATATTTAAAGTAATTTAGTTTTTTTTTTTTTTCAATGAAAAAATAAACAAATATTTTAAATTTAGCATATGATTCTTATAGTGATATTGCTAATCATAAAAATTAATTTTTTTCTGAAAAAAAATATCGATTACTTATATTTCATCGATAAAATAATATTTTGCATTAATAGTATATATATATATATATATACTTACGTAATTCGACCCATAGATTTATATAAAAAAATATATAGATTATGGAATATTGATTTTTCTAATAGATCTTTATAAACAGTCGAGGTACTAATTTGATATAATTTACTATATTCATGTAACAAGTCTTTAATTAAATCATTATCATAAAGTCAGATTAGTAAAGTATCTATGATTCTATGTTTCTTGTTTTTATTCTTTTATATATAAAAACAACGATTGCCTCGAAAAATGAAGCAAAAATCGACAATTGATGTCATAATGATATGCAGACATTAATAGAGAATGACATCTTTATTAAAATGGTGAATAATTTCTTAATTCTTATATTTTTATTGCAAATCCATATCAAATATTCATAATAATATTAATTTTTTTATTATATTTTTTTTCAGAATTGTAATTCAAATCAATAAAATTATATTTGAATTGTAATTCAAATATAAATTTAATATTTGCTTATACATAAATATATTTTAATTATATTTTAATGTATAATTATATTATTGCCTTTTTTGGTATATATTATGAAGTTTTTCATTAATATTTATTTCTATTTGATACGATTTATTTTTTTGAAAAAATTCAACAGTACATTTACATTTTTTTTTTTATCAGTTATAAGATTATATTGACTATATCATGGAGGATATAATAAAATCTCCGATTTTTCTCAAGATTAATATTTCAATTCATGTGACACAATATTCCATAAAAAGTTATATCTACATTGTATCTTGTCTTTCAGAACATAATTGTGGGGATACAGTAACATTTCACTTTCTGATGGCAAATGTTTGAATCATTGCGTGTCAAAGCTTAGTAAGAAAACACCACCGAAGCAACTGTTACGTACTATTTATGTCAGTATAATCATTATTGTTATGCAAAACCATAACAATCTAATTCGTAATTGTATCAATATATATTCTTTGTTTTTCCTTTTTACTTTAAAAATGCTTATTCTTTAATAAATGATACTTCTGTTTTCATTACACTTTCTTTCATTCGATTCTTAAAAACTTTTTTAAGAATTAGTGCAAAGCATTTCAATAATGTTTCTTTCTCATTTGAATTATGATTAAAATTATATTCACATTTGAAATGTGTATATAACATTCATCATAATTGATATTTATTAATATTTAAAGCTGATACGTTAATAGTTAAAATTTCTAAAATTTCTGGTATAATAATAATAATAATAACATTTTCTAATAAAAAAAAAAATATATAATTTCCTGTTACGTATAATGATGATGTAAGGTAGAAACAGTTACGTGAAATTATATAGTGATGATTAGAAAATAAGATTACGATATTTATGATTATGCGATTATACAATTTTTGGAAACAGTAAAAGAAAAGGAAAAATAAATTTGCTATTAATCAATTACTTCGTATAGTGATTCGTTTACTTTAAATTTTGACACAAGACATTTAACAATTAATTTGGATACTTTCATTACTGAACAAAACTACAATTTTCGGAAGTTTTGCAAGACTTGTACAAAAGAAAAAGAAAGGGTCGTTACGAAATTAACCACTATCGTTTAAGCGAACGACGATGCTTACATCTACTTACATCTATAAAAGACGAGCAATTAGATGAACTATGATATTCAGTATTTATGCTTCATTGCAAAAACACAGGACAGTTTACTCGCGTTTATTTACAGAAATAAAAGACGAAATTATCGATTAACTTAAAGAAGAAAAGTATACGAAAAAAAGGATCAATTTGTCCCTGAACGTATATTTATTTCTTTGTTCTGTATGTGGCGGCACAAGCCACCACAAGGGTATCGAAGGCGGAGCTACAAGAAAGGTGTAACTGGAAATTATAAAAGAGCGGTCAGTAGTCAAGAGGAGGCAGTCTCCTTCAAGTGTTCACCTGCGCGACTACGAATCGGGTACGTTATATTTCTTTAATTTTATTAGTCTGTAATAAATTTTTAAATCGAAGCAATATTTTTTTTTTCCATTAAAAATCAAATTCTAAAAAAATTCTCAAAAATCGAACGATTTATTTATACACTCATTAAAAACAAAAATCTTCAAAAAATTGTTTTAAGTGTATTATTAACGTGTCAAAGATTTTAATATGATTTATCTTCTTTTTTTAAATTAGTTTATTTTAATTTTGATTCATCAAAATTCGCAATTGCCTTTTTTTTAAAATTAATTTCTCCTGATATCTTATAATATCTCTCTACGTTATAAAGTAAACCTTACTCGTATAATAATTATTTGCATGATAATTCATTCAACGCGTATCAAATTTTAATCACGTCGCGTGATGAAGCAGTTCAATCGTTTTTCTCAATGTACTTACTTCGTCAAACCGATGTCGCAGGAATTTCAAGTGCCAATTTGTATGCCGACCTTGTTTTAGGAGGTCAGAAATTCTAGAGGCCAAGGATACGGGAACAAATTAATAACATTGAATCTGTAGAATAAGCACATATTAAAATGTAATATTTTCAAAGTCATCGAATCAATCATATTTTATTTACTTCGATAATTAATGGATTACGTGATTATATAATGTATTCACACGTTTTCAAAAATCTTTTGTTCTAGAAATTTATTATTATTTGGAAAAAATTTATCAAAACCTATTTGCTCTGGTGGTGGTCTTCCATTTTATTGATTTTAAAATATAATAGATCGAAGAATCGATCGCAATGTTAAAAGAAAAAGCAATTCAATCGATCTGTTTGACATAATGCTTTCTGCGTATGGGGTGAATGGCTTTCAGTATCAGAGAACTTCAATAGTAATAATACGATAAGTAGTACTTTCTATGCGGAAGTGGTTTATTTCTCTGGTTACTCGATAACCTATTAGTATTACGCTCATTATAATGTACAAAAAAATCTTTTGCACAAAATTGAGACTCGAATTCGAATAAATATAAATAAATAAAATCGTATCGATGTAATATATAACAAAAAAAAAAAGGAAGAAAATTATTAAATATTCATCTAAAGTGCTTTTTCCCTTCTTCATTTCATATAACATTCCAAACTGTCGAATCAATGAGTTAAAAATATTCCTGTATCGATTTTGACCAAGATCGCAAATTAAAAAAAAAAAAAAAAAAAAGATCGTTAGAAAACAATAAGAAGGCAAAATTGAAGAAGCAAATTGTCACTCGACATTAAGTGAAACATCATCGAGCGAGTTGGTCGATCTCTTGGTACAAAATCGAGGAACAAAGATGGACGCGCAACTGGCCGATTACATAATCGGAGAAAGTGGTTGCGAAACTAGTCACTCACCACATGTTGCTATCACGGAACACGTAACACTTCGGTGGTATTCGTAGGTACTTGGTCGGGCATTATATCATAAAGAGACGAAATTGTTATGTCATGAAATCAACGTTAACATTACTATTGACTAAATCCTTACGAAATTACGGGAGAATGCATAAAACGATCTCGCGTTACGCGATCAAAAGAAAGTGTGGTTACTCGTTTCGAAGCAAAACATTTCTTTCTACAGCTGTGTCGCGGTAAGATGGCTTTGAATATCGGGGGAGCAATGTCAGCTGTTCCTCGAAGATATCGTATATATGATTTTTTTTTTTTTTTTTTTTTCTACTTAAAAAATATCTGGAATGACCTTGACACAAATATCGAAAATAAACTTTACGTATATAAGAGGAGAATTTCAGAAAATGACGAATGATTTTTTTTAGAATCTCGAGCGATCGATAAGTACTTTAATTATCGATAATTTAAAAACCGCTTGAAAAATTAACGAGATGGGAACAGCGGTCGAATGGGTAACAGCGGAGGACGCGTACGAGTGCACCCTCTCGAAGGAGACGCAACAACTCTCGAAGGAGGAGCTGAGAGAGGATAAGAATACCAGAGACCAAGCCCTCGAGCAAATACGTAACTGGATAAAATTGAATCCGCGTATTCAGAATTGTCGTCTTGGTGAGAGAATCGTTTTCTTTTTTTCTTCTTTTTTTTTAATTATTTTTAAAAGATAATGCTTTATTACGTAGACACGCGTGATCAAATTAATCTGTCGCCGATAATATCTGTCGCGATTTTCGTTCGACAGATGCGCGATTTTTGTTAAGATTCCTAAGATGTAAAAAATTTAACGTCCCAATGGCGGAGGAAGCGATCGAGAGATACTTGCTGCTGCGCCAGGTCTACCATCCCGCATTCAACAATTTGGACATCACGGAACCAACGATGGAGGAGCTGTTGTCTTTGGGGTAAGATCGATGAAACGAGGTTTCGCGCCAAAATTATGCCAAGTGTATCCCTATTTTCCAGATATCTATTCGCTGCACCCGGACGTGATGCTAAAGGCCGTCGTGTTATAATTGCCAGACCAGGTAAACTCAGTCCAATTTGGCTCTTGTGGATCGTTTTTCACGCTTCTCCCCCTTCTTTTACATTTCGAAACGCAACGTTTCTTTAAAAAAGAAAAAAAAAAAAAACGATCGCAAGCTGTTTATTATTTATCCGTCATTTTTGTTTTTATTAACACGCGATTATTTTTATCGCGTTAAATATGGTGAGGAAACACGAAGGCACGATAAAAAAAGAAAAAAAAAGAGAACGAATTTTACGAGTTGCGCAATTGCATAACACGTTTCGTTTGTGCGTAACAATATTTACTTTCTGCCACGTGCTTTCAGGTGTCTTTGATCCGCATAAGTACACGAATGCTGATATGTGTAGAATTCACGCAATCACTTACGAGTGTTTGATGGAAGACGAGGAAAGTCAAGTACGAGGTTTCGTTCATTTTGCCGATGGTGCCGGTGTTAGCTTTCCGCATTTGACGCTCTTCACACCCAAGGAGGCTGTTCGTATCGTGAAAAATGGCGAGGTATGAATCGTCATTTTTCTTTCGTCGTGAAACAATTATTGGCGCAATTATTACACGTGATAACAGTGGAAAAGATTGCGATTGAATCATCGAGGAAAAAAAATATTTATACGTGAAAATTATACGTGATTACAGAAGAAATTCTTAAAGAGATAATGATAACTTTTAGCGAACGATACCGATGCGACATAAGGAAGTTCACGCGATTAACACGCATCCATCTTTAAAATTTGCCCTCGATTTTGGTATGTCACTGATCTCCGAAAAAATAAAGAAACGTGTGAAAATTTACACCAGCCTCGAAGAAGCGATCAATCACAAGATGGACACGAGTTTATTGCCTAAAGAGTACGGTGGCACAATGCCTATGAAAGAAATGATTGGTAAGTATATTCCAAGCTGGCTCGTCGTTGAGATTAATCGTGAATAATAATGGAAAAAGGAAAAGAAATTTGGAGCGTAAAATTACTTTGTTTGCGTAGAATTATGGAAGAAAGAATTGCTCGATATGACGCCAACGTTGTTGAGCCACGATAAAATGCGGGTGAATTTGGAATTGTACTCGGAAAAAGCTCGAGAAGGGGCGGTTTCAGCTTTGAAACAAGGTTTTGGGTGTTCCGACATTGGGCCCAACGATTCGACCATGTACGGGATCACGGGTTCTTTCAGGAAACTCGAAGTGGACTGAAACGCATTATTCCATTTACGCATAACGCATAACATGTATCAATCCAGTTGGATATTCTATTGTAAACTTATTCTATTGGAACAATGTTATCAACTTTTTTACAAGTAGTCATTAAACGTGAAATCTCGTTAAGATATTACTGGTGGATATAAAAAAAGGCAGTGAAATTTCGATCTCGTTAATGCAATGTAATTTTGCGGCCGATTATTTTAAAGAAATAATTGTATAAGTAAAATTGTAATGGATTGACTTAGGTTTATTATTATTATAAGTTACGTATTCCATTGCATTCTAGTTATTTGTAAATAATATTTGGAAATAAATATATATATTTTCTTACACTTATATTAATATTTCTTTTATTTTTCTAAGTCTGGAAAAGTCGGACGACAAGTTTAAGAAGAGATCCAACTTCCAATTATTTCACGTATTTTCACTCTGGCTCGAGTCAGATCCTCGACATCTGTATCTGAATCGCTGTATAAATCGCGACAATGAGACGATCCTGGAAATAACAAGAATCTGTATCAATTGATTGATTTTAAATAACTCGTTTAAAAAACAATTAACAAAGATGCCTGATATTACCTTTTATAAGTACAGCCGGAGAAAATGTATTTAAATCTTGAAGAACGGATAGAGCATGCCACGGATCAATATCTCCATTTGTAAATATTACATTTCTCAAGTCTGGTCGTAATCCTCCATACATTATATTTGTTCTTTTAATTCTACTATTTAAGAAATCGCCATTGTAACTGCAAGACAAACAATATATCGTATTATCTTATCTTAGCAGATAAACAAATATTTAAATAGTTAAAAATATTTGACGTAGCGCGTACTATTCGCCGTATAAATCTTCGCAAATATTTGTAAAATATAGCAACGGAAATAAGGATCCAAAAATTGATTTCGTTGAATTGGATGTTTGGTAATAACCGTATTCCGTGCACGTCTGGTAGTACCATTGTCTCACTGTAATGGCATGTAAAAAAAATAAAATTATAAACAATAAGTAATTCACGCAAGCAATTTTTATCGTAATGTGTTTACTTATATCAGATTGAGCGTCCCACGTTTCATTCCTGTAAAGCGTGACGAACTTTTCGTAATTGTTTTTCAAACATTTGTCTTTTCTTGACACGAAATGCGCCAATCTTTGAAGGGGGCTACCCAAATATGTAGCTGTCATGTTCTCGCAACAAGAGGCGATCTTTCTTCTTCCATTTTCTACTTTATCGTATTGAACTACGCTGGCGAAACTCTGATCGTAAAAATTTGTATAATTTAATAAATATTAGTAATTTTTGTAATTTAAAATATCTTCTTCTCGAAAAATTCATTTCACGATAATAATCCGTACCTCTGCTAAAAGATTACCAAAGTGTCCAAGATCGTTGAAAGATTTTACGTTTGGCACGTCGCATAAACTGTAATGTATAATTTTAATTATTATACATCGTAACGTTATTTACTCATCGTTATAAATTAAACATGAATAATAATTACTTGAAATATTGTTTCAATCTCTGCGGGCCATTCTCGGCGTGTAATAATTCCTCGACTTCATCGAACGCAGTTTTTATTTCGTCAACACATTTTTGACTATATTTACCAAGCGATTCGGTCACGATTTCGTAATACTCTAAAAAAAAAAAAAAAAAAAAAAAAAAAGAAATTTCTCCTGTAAAACTGAAATCGATTTTATTCTTTACCATTAAAATCGAGTTTCGCGAGAACTGGAGCGCTACTGGCTAATGCACCCTGAATCAGATGAGGATACTTAAGTCTAGCCCAAGAGGCCATGTTTCCAGCGTAAGATCCGCCAAAAACAATTACGGTACTATTTCGCCGACTTTCATCCTTCTTTTTCGTTTTGATAAAATACGCTAGATCAGCAAGTGCTTGATCGACGCTTAGATACTGCAAGTTTCTCGAACTAGTGTCGCTATATTAATTAAGTTTAAAAAATAAAAATTAGTAAAGTATTGCGTATGAAGATATAAATATCGTTGGTATAGAACGAAAAATCAAAATGTCAAATTCGAGATTCATAATTTGAAGCTTATAATATTTATAATATTTTGTTAATAAAAAGTAAAATTATGACCTTTTTTTTTCTATACCAATAATAATTGAAAAATTGCAAATTTTTGTTTGATTTTCTTTGATTCTCGCAGCAAATGTATATTATTTTTGTGAATAATTTTTGTGAAAAAACTCATACTTGGTCGGTTTACTTTTGCCGTAATAACGATGCTCGGTGTAATACATGCTCGCGTTGTATTTAGATGCAAGCTCGTACATTAAACCAGCCTGTAAGAAGCCCTTAGATATTGCCCATTCTCCTCCGATCATGATCAAAATTGGCCCATTTTCTTTGAAAAATCTTGAATTTTCAAGATAACGCTGTCGAAACAAGACACGCGTAAGATCGTTTGTTCAAGTCGTAATTTCATTCTATTTACGGTATACCATCGACCAAGTACGGTTGTCTCGTGGATTGAAATGATCTAAGGGCTGCTGGATCCATGCTTCGGTAATATTTTCCTGAATCGCTTTATTGAGAGATTGCGGTTCTTCCAAACCGTGAAAATGAAATCCGTGAAGACCGACACCATGACCGAGATGATAAATACAACACAATAAAAATAGGAAACTTAAAAAATTCATATTCTATTGAAATCTATCTATTTATTAACGACGGAACAATTTATGAAACACTGTTGAATAAAATGTTCCATCCGATTATTTTATTGCTCGATATCGAGATAATTAGTTCCTCTCAAAGATTTTAAAATTAAATTGGAAAAATTTATCTGATAAGACATTGTCTTATTGTCTGATTGAAGACAAGAAATATATACAATAGGTCCATCAAAAAAAAAAAATATCGAATTATAAACAAGAACAGGTACTTGAAAGATAATAACTATCACTTAAATGTAACATGTCTATGTAACATGATCAATATTTCACCAATGAAAATTATCTTGAAAATTCTATGATAAAAGTTGATTTTTGAGAAGGAGAGAAGAGAGAGGAATTAAATATCAGTATTGTATCAGATATAATACCTAAAATAGTTTTATTTTCAATAGCAATGCTTAATAATTAAATTTGTAAAAAGAATAAACTGCGATAGATATGAAACATTTTATTGTTAAATATTTTACGAAAACTGTTACGAGAACTAAAATAATATTATAATAATTATGGATATATCGATTTTGTTCTATATCAGTTTCATTCGTTAAAACCGACATATCCATAATAATTATAACATCTCTTTGGTTCTTAAAAATAATTTTAATCAATAGAATCAATATATAATACATAGTTATTTTCGAGACCGTTTCAATTTTTGTCTAGAACTCGATCTACGATGTTTTCTAGGTATTTCATCGTCATCGGAAACTCTATCTTTATCAGATTGCTCGTATTTATCGCGCGTCGATTTTTGTCGAGAATCTCTTTCATCGGAATGATGGTGACGTTTTTCAATGGTTTTCGAACGGTGTTCTATCTCCGGTTCCGGAGACTCAGACCATCTCCAATTTTTACCATTCTCTATATCGCTACCATCTTCCCATTTTGATTTATTCCTAAAAAAAAAATTAAAGATTAATAACATATCAATACATATTATATTATAATATATTAAGATATATAATATACATTAAATATAATAAATAAAATAATAATATATAGTATGATAAATAATAATAACAAATTCTTAATACCTATGTTCGATTTTTTTATTGCTTGTAATGTCTTGAGAGGATGAAGACAATTGTTTTGCCCATCTCGGTGGGCTTTTAATATCGTACTCGTCATGAGGATTTTTAAAAGTGTGCAAAAAATTGCAAGCCCTTCCTTTAGGACATTTCGACATTCCACACACAGCGCTCCTCCATGATTTCAAATTAACAAACTCACAATTGAGTTGTCGACCAGCATACCATCGACCTTTTAATCTTCTTAAAGCTCTGGCAGCTTCTCTTTCGGTGTAATATTCAACATATAAGTTTCCTCGTAAATGAACTTCTGTATTACAACAATATTTTAAAGTCTTTATCCTTCCAAATGATTCCAATTCAGGAACTACATCTTTGTAGAATTCACGAAAATGCTGTCGTGTTTCTGAACTTTCAAATTCAAGTGCAATATCCGTATCGTATTCCGCGCAATTTTTCTCCAAGGAAAAATGTGTATAAAAACTAGGTACTAATATCACTTTGCTCAAACATACCCTACGATGATTTCTTGAGCAAGTATCACCATACCTATAAATATGTTTTTGATTTTACAAATACGATACTTAAAAAAGATTATATTATATACTTAAAGAAAAAATGACTTGTATATATTATTTACCTGCAAGCACCAGTCTTTGTAAAAAAGGGACAAAGCTCTTTACCAGGTTGACTATCGATAACTTCCCGCAAGGCTTCCGGAGTCTTGATCCCATTATCGATATAGTCGTCGATTTCTTTTAATAGCTGTTCTCTTTGTCTAATCTCCTCTTCCCTTCTACGTTTTTCTTCTTCCTGTTTTTTGCGAATTGCTTCCTGTTTCGCTTCGAATTCTTGACGTATTTTCGCTTCCTGTTCTAGTTGTAACTGTCGAGCTTTTTGTTTTTTCTCTTGTAGAATTTTCCATTCTTCTTGTGCTTTTACCTAAGAATATTAAATATAATATAAAACACTGTGGATACAGTTTATTGTTAAAGTAAGTTTGATTGTTTAGTTTATAGAAACCATGTAGTAACTAGCAGGCTTTGGTATCCACATTTTAACATTATTTTCAGGGTTATAGCAAAATTCTTGTGAAACAGTGATACATTATTCGATGATGATTAATCGAACGTATGCTATCGATCGTGAAAACAAAGTAATTTCGATAACATGACAACATACGCGATGTATTAATCAATTGGTTAATAATTTTTTTGTATTGAAATAAAAAAGAAAGAAAAGAAAAATGAAGTTTGCAGTTGCAAGAGAAAATTTCGTAAATATCTTTTGACTATTTTATAAACTGACCTCTTCTTCTAACCATTGTTTTTCCCGTTGATCGTGCTCTTCCTTTTCTCGAGCTTCTTTTTCCCTCTCCTCAATTTCACTCTGTTCTAACCACTTTAAATATTCCGCGCTTTTTACAAGTGCTGCCCTCAGTTGTTCCTCGTTCGCTTCACGTTCAGCTGCCGCTTTACGACGCAGACGTCTTCGATGCTCTCTTTTCGCTATTTTACGCCACTCCTTATGACTTTTTTTCGTCAAATGACTCCCTTCCATTACCATACATTTTTCAAGAAAATATTTGTGTTATCTCCGAAAATATCATAGTATCACGAATTTTTGACACAAGTGAAACGTATCTGGTAGTCGATACCAATAAAGAAATGGCGGACCACACGTGCACGTCGCTGTGCTATCACTGAAACAAAAAGCTTTTAATTCGGATTATTCTTAAATTTTTAAATTATTTACGGAATTATATAAAAAATAATATTATTATATGAAATTATATAAAATAAATAAATACATTTAATAAAATAAAATATATTATTATTATTAATATTATTAAATTATTGAATAAGAAATAAGAAATAAATAATTAATAAAACAGTTTCTAAAATTCTAAGAAAAAATGTAATATTTATAGAAATAATTTCTGAGAAACTTACTCAAAAATGATTTATTGTTTAAAAAAATTCTTTTTATATAATTCATCGTATCCATTAAATACATAATATATGTGTATTTAACTAGAACAATTTAATGCAAAACAAAAATTACTACTTAACACAAAATTGTTACCAACTTAAAAAATTTTCCAGAGACTTCTTATTCTAGAGATTTTTATTTTAATATGATAGTCATATTGATTGCTTTAAACGCGGAACTGGTTGGAAATTTAATGTAAAGTGCAGGTTAAGTGTAAGCAAACAAATTACAAATAATGTTTATTTATTCTTATTCTGTATATTTTTTATTTGCTCACATTGTAATAAAAAAAATTGTGCAAACGAATATTTTATATGTAAAAAGTTAAGTGTTAATTAATTTTCAAGAAATAATTCAATTAAAAATGTTAAAATTAATATTGATTGATAATAAATATTAATATTAAAATTAAGAATCAAATTAAAAACTTTTAAATTGTATTTTTTGAAATATAAATTTATTAATATAACAAAATAAAAATGAATTAAAAAAATGATGAATAAGATAATCATATTCTTGTTACATATTCGTAATATCGTAAAAAATTTTTCTACTATATTACGTATTACGTATTATATTACGTATTATTAAGAATTATACAAATAATTAGTGTTACGTTTTTACTTTGTTATATTTCATAATTTTTACATTAGAAATTTAGTGTTATGAAATTATGACAAAAATTGTGATATATGTATTTCTTAAACGCAAAAATATATTGATAATAAAAACATATTTCACAATATATACAAGTTTTATATTATATTTCATATTTTTTTTATTGTATACTTATATTAAGTAAGATAATATTTGAATAGATAAATAATATTTTTTATTTGATAGTACAATAAATCTATAATAATTAATTTATTGTAAATTTGAATATTTTTTTCAATATGATTAATTAATTAAAAATAAATGTGTGATTAATGATATAATTTATTTGTGATGACGATTTCTATATTGGATCCAAGTATTACAGGTATTGCTATTGCTACGCTCCTGCCGAAAATACCGTTATATTCGACAGAGCGTTGAACTACAAATGATTCGAACCAGTATAGTGAAGACATCTGCGATATTTTTTAAAACGGTACTGACAAAACAGTCGTATTTTTGTAGTTTTACAAGAAAAATAATCATATTGAATTAATTAGTTACAAACATAGTGATACATAAAAAATTGTTATTGTTGAGTGTAAGAATAATGAAAAACTGACGATGATAACGATAGCTTGCAAATGGTATAAACGAAGTTAGTATATGTAGTGCAATTGTGAGACGACAGTGTTTCTTACTTCGATAATGCGCATTTAACTATTTTTAATTAACTGTAACGAACTAGAAAACGAAACAAAAATAGCAAATAAATTTGTGACATATCGACTTTTAGAAGAAAATGTATAGTACAATGCGCGATATATAATTAAATTTCACAATGAAAGAAATAAAAATGGAATTAAAAAATGGACATTTCATGGAGAAGAATAAAAAATCAATAAAGAAACAAAAATCGACATTTTGGGCCTATGTACTGTGGTTAATTGGTGGTTTAGTTGGCGCGCATCATATATACTTGGAAAGAGATGCACAAGCTTTTGTATATTTTAGCACTTTTGGTGGATACTTTGGTATCGGATGGCTTCGAGACATCTATAGAATTCCTTCATATGTGCGCGATGTAAACGAGGATCCCAGTTTTATAAATGATTTTAAACAAAAAGTTAGAAATAATCGTAAGGTATATTGAAATTGATAAATAATCGATCTTAATTTGAATAAGTATGTTTAGAAAAAGTAATCTAAGTTTGTAAAAAATAATCTAATGAATCGTACAATATTTCAACATACAAAATGTTTTTTTTTTTGTATATTTGAGTATAAAAAATAAAAATTGATAACGTAAGCAAAATATTAATGCAACATGTCATATTTGATTTCAGCCGCCATTCTCTACAGTGCGATTTGTTACTGAAAATGCTGTTGCATATTTATGGGCTGAAATATTTCGCAATGCCATTCCAGGAGACGAAATATATGGAATTAATTTTAGACATTTACTAATTTTAACGCCTTTAGTTGTTGCTTTAGGTAAAAATATATATATATATATATAAGATATATTATACATATTACGTAATTGTGTTTAATATATACATGTCATTTACGATTATTAACGATACGTTCGTTTTCCAAGTATAATTAGTTGATAAAATTTTTATCAAACTAAACTATATATCTACATTAAATTGTTACAAATACACATCAGCAATATGTTTATATAAAATGATGTAATTTATGAAAATAATTTAATTAATTTATAATATACATTATTATATTCATAGCTAATTAGATTTATAAAATATTCATTTCTTTAATTCTCATTCTTTTCCATTCAAAATATAATTCGTTATTTTACATTTATAATTGATTAGATTCATAAAATATATTTGTTTCCTTTATCCTCGTTTTCTTCTACAGAATGTTTTTCATGATTCTAATAATTGTATTTATTCAGGTGTTTGGACGATCGGAAATATTGGCAGGGAACAAGGTTCCATATGGATTGCTCTTTGCTCGGCATATTTATTGTATCCAACGCTAACCTACATCGGAGATGACAACATGTGGGTATTTCTGATGGTCGTTGCTGCTAGTTTAAGTTTCGATACATTCAGCAAGCAATGGAGACTAAAGCCAAGGAAGAGAAAAAACATCATTCAAAGAATCTTTTATCTCGGTTTAGCTGCTGCACTTTACACATTTTTACTAGGATCATATCTATACTTTAATGCTGTTGTTACCGATAGCGAGGGCGAAGAGATCAAATTATCGGAAGCTATTCAACACTTTTTAACGTCTCCTATATGGCTTGATCTTAAGGTTTAATTTAATTACTTTAAATTGATATCATTAAGGCAATTGGATAAAGATTTTATGAAACCTAAAATTTTATAGGCGAGTCTCGAAGCAACATGGAATCAAGCGAAACATCAAGGTTTCTGGGCAACATGGGCACAATTGATAGATCTTACGGATCCTCGAGGAGAAATAAACGCTTACAAGGTATATAATTTGAAATTTATTTTATAATATTTATACTTAAATTCCCTTTATATAGATTTTAGGTCTTTCCCAAACGGCCACGCAAGCCGAAGTGACGTCCCGTTGGAGAGCACTCTCGAGGGATAATCATCCGGACAAGATAAAGGGCACTGAAGAAGAAAGGAGACAAGCTCAAGAGAAATTTATGGAAATTCAGCAGGCATACGAGATTCTTTCAAAAGCAAAGAATCGTAGACAACGTCGAAATAGAAAATCGGATGAATCGTAATCAATAAATCTGTGCTCAATAATTTCGAAATACACAGTATGATACATGCGATTCATCAAAGTGCGGATCAATCAAAATTATTGAATAATCATTTTAACATACGATAAATTAGTGATAAGCAAAGGCATTTTATTATATTAAGGATATCTTCCGTATCTCGTAAATATTTATAATAGATTTTCTTGAAAAGATTTATTTTTTATTTTACAGTAATAAATAACAAACGAGGTACGGAGACAAATTGTTTTCATTCATCATACACAAATCTTCGTTGTGAAGCATTTGTTCTACCTCGTTATTCCGTATACTATAGCAAGATAGACTTTTATTTTTATTGAACGCATTATTGATTCATAAAATTTGGCACTGTTTGCGTTCGAACATTAAATATAAATGTTAATATGTATATGTAAAATTGAATGTATAAATATAAATATTATGATGTACTATTTAGGTATTTTCGTATAAGTATATTATTAAGTACATCTATATTCGATTTTTATCTTGATAAAAATGATCATTTTCGTCTTTTAACGGAGAAAAGATATTTTACAAACAAATTCAGTATCATTTTTATATCAAGAAATTTATTTATAAATTTGTTCGATGATCGTTGCGTGATTAAAAAAAACGTCAGTTTGTATTCCAATACGTTTATAAATTGAAAAATCGCGAGAGCGAATTTTCTCACCGCAATTTGACGGATGATTATTTAAAATTGTTTTAAAAATACTTTATCGATTCGATGGTTCATCGTTACCTATTCTTATCGATTCTTTGGTATTCGTGATTTTATAGAAGTTCGTCTATCTGCGTATTTTCTCTGGTATAGTTTACTAAAATCGTAAACTACTAAAAATAAATTTCATCGTTTCACGCGTTTTAAACACCTACTAGCATCATTTACTTATATCAAATCTGAAGTTTAACGATTAATAACATACGAAAAGAAAAAATAATCCACGAAGACTGGTAATCCTTTTCTCTGTCGATTATATAAATAAGTGTATGACGTTAAAAAAATTTGCTGATGGAAACGAGATTGTTTGAGAATTCGTTTAACATCGATACTTTTTTAAAAAGAGCGAGATTTGCGTCGCTCGCTAGGAACTGTATTGATAAAAAGTGATTGAAATTGAATCGAAAGAGATCGAAAATTCTTAAAAATATTTTTTTTTTTCGAGAGAGAGAGAAAAACGTCGCGATTTTTCACGCTTGCGCGCGTTTATTGACAAATCGGCTCACGAATGCAAATTTACCAATTTATTTATTTTTCTTTTTTGACCGTGATGGTTTTCCTACCGTATTCTCGATTTTCTCTGTGAAATTTGACCCATATTTGTCCTTTGATTGCTCGATGAAATCTTGCGGTGAAACTAACGTCACCCTAAAAGAAAAAAAAAAAAAAGAAAAAAAATTTATCTAATTCTTAAAGTTGGAATATTTGAGATAAATATCATCGTTACCTTAATTGTGGAACGCTCAATGGTCGAAGAAGACTTTTAACAACGGGAGGAACGTCGCTGGATTTTGGTAAAGCGGGGCTACTCGCGCAAAGAGCAGCGCTAGTTAATTGCGAGACCAGAGAAAAACTTCTGTCTGGTCCAGATGTTGTGCGAAAAACTTTTCTTATTTTTGATTTGAGCCCCGAAGATGACGACGACAAGGGTGTAGTAGGAACTGGCACGACCTATATCAAATATTAAATACATAGAATATTAATATTAATATATTTTAAAGGTTAAAAATTTGCAGAGTTGAATTCGTCACGAGTATAACAGAATTATCCGAATTTCCATTGACCAATTATTCGAATATAAGACGATCATATATATTTATTATTCTGTTGAATTTATTCTTCAACGTGCATTTTTCTTATCACATATATATTATCAGATATCCAAACTCGAATTGGATCAAGAATTTTATTCGAAATCCGAATTCTAAAAGTATTTAATCGTATAGTATGATAAAAAAAAAATAAAAGATATTAAAAATATCATATGATTGAAAATTTTCGCGATTCAAACTTGATCCGATCTAATCCGATCCGATCTGAGATCAAAAATGCATTCGATTATTCGAAAGAATCTATTTCTTAATTAATTCGAATAATCGTTGTTCCATTATACTCTCTTTGGAAAGATATATCGTTTCTTTCGATACAACATTCTAAATCGTTTATGAAATAATCTTTAGAATATATATAAGTATCGTGAAGATAACAACATAATAATCATTTAGTAACAAAATACTAATAAATAATAATTTTAATAGATAATTTTAAAGTTTATCATCGCGATAATTTTCATTAAAAATCCGTTTACCTTTCCTTGTAATACTTTTGCCGCCAGTTCAGGTTCACTACCCCACCGACAAGAAGTTGATCTTTCAAGAAGTCGATGCCTAGCGAACCTTTCGATCACTTCAGCGCACACGTACCTCCCACAAAATCTGGCCCATTGTTCCGCTCTCAATCCTCTCCCGTGATCTCTCAATGTCGGATTCGCGCCTGAAATTCAAACACGACAAGTTCCAACGATCTCTCGTCACTTTATTTCTTCCTTTTTTGTAAAAAAAAAAAAAAAAAGAAAAAGAAAAGAAAAGAAGGAAAGAAAATTAACTCACCGGCGAATAACAAAATTTTGGCGCATTTAGTCCTTCCTTGAAGGGCTGCCTTCATCAACGGTGTAAAACCCGACGCGTTCCTCGCGTCCACCTCGATGTCCGGACACCTTTGAAGGAGTATGTTCAAACATTCCGTTTGCCCTGATTCGAACGAAATATAATTAAGAGAGATATTAAATCAGGCCTCGAGACACGTGTCCTTCGAAAAATCGAAAGTGTTCGAAACAACGTTCGTAACTCGTTCGTAACGTTCCATATTTTGGCTTTGAAACGTCTGTTGGCGTACGTCACGGCGAACCACGCGCGTTTCAAGTAAGTACTCTAAGTTATTTTCGACGCCGATGACGCGGTAGAATCCTTACGGCATCGCGGATATAAAATTTAACGTCTGCTTATACGTGTGTATTACGATACATATATATATAGAGTGTCTCTGAAATCATGCAAACGATGATGTGTCCGATGATTCTACGTGCAAAAGTAAATGGAGGAGAGAGAGAGAAAAAAAGAAATAACATTTTCTTCGTTTAAGCCTTTGTTTTCAAATAAATCAAGTGAAATTGGCTACTTTCCAAGATGCAATACGAATGAAATAATACGATACGATAATAAGATACGTCTAATAAGATTAAAATTTTCTTTCGTTTAAAAAATTATATTACTCTTCGATCTTCGATAATTTATTTATAATACGATCGGAAAAATTTATAGCAAAATTTTTTAAAATAGAACAATCCTATGCTCGTACTACCACCATCTTCGAGTCACCCTGTATAGACTTTCTAACGAGAAGTGTTTATAAAATTTATATCCACCACGTGGCCGGATTCTTTCGATCACACGTAGTACGCGTAAGTACGAGAGGTTGCTGCAAGGCGAACATCTCTGTCCTTGAAAGATTTCCGCGCAACAGATTGATATTTTCACGTATCACGAATCTCTTCGTTCGCCGAGAGAAAAACGAATCAAAACGTTCCTTGATCGTCATAGGAAAAAAGAGATATTTTCCTCGACATTTCCCCTCTTTTTTCTCGTAAAAGATCATAAGAAGAAATAATTTTTAAATTAATCTTGGAAAGAATATAAAAAACTCATAAAAGCTTACCGGCTTGCGCGGCGAAATGCAGCGGCGTGTTGCCCTCGTTGTCGGGGATATTCGGATCCGCCCTTTCGAACGAGAGCGCTAGCTCCAACATCGTCGAGGCACCGTTTCCAGCCATGTAGCTGATGGCGGTCTAACGTAACAATCGTTAAATATTATTTCACTCATCGATTGCGCGAGATACTTGGTTTCTCACTTTGTTGTTTTTCCAACGGTAAATAAATATACTGTTGAAAGATCTTTAATCAAGTTTTACTTTTATTTTGTTATGGAAAGGGATCGAATCTTAATCCTTTGAATGAAGGTAAATAAGTCTTGAGTTTAGGTAGAAGTTGGTGATCATTTTAAAATATTTAATCATTTTAAGTCTTTATAGTTATGTCGATTGTTATAGGGATTTTTATGAGATGTAATTGTGTCAAAGTATGGAATTGAGAAGTGACTATATATATATATATATATATATTGCTGAATTAAATAATAAGAGCTTTTAGATGATCCAATTATATGGAGTTGGAAAATTGAGGAGGATGTCACAAATTTTTTTATAGAAACTTTTATAGAAGAAGTAATTTTATAGAAAAAGTAATTTTTCTCTTGCATAACACGTTCAACACCAATATTCATAGCCATTTTACAATATTATATTATACATATTTCTTGTATTTATAAAAAAATTAATCTCACCGAGAACCTTTTAATTTTTGAATGAATATTAAGAATCGAATCTTTTTTATTTTTTTGCATGTATTAATATTTAAGAATGTTGTATATATATATATTTCTTTTTTCACGTTAGAAGGAAATTATATCGTATTTCAAGAGGAGGTGAAAAATATAAATACACGATATGCTCGAGATATTTGTCCAACGAGCATCCAATTCGTTATTCTTTAGTGAGACGCACAATGGATTGTGCGGTGTAAGGATCAATTTATTAAGTGGTTACTGACGTTGACGTGATAGCTCAAATGCTATTACTTTATGTGCGTCATTGTAGCAAACACATGTCGAAATAAGATTCTCACTTGTTTTCGTGAGAAGAAGCATACGTTGTTTTTCGAGCTCGAGTAAAAACAATAAGATTTGTCCATTTTTCAAATAATATCTTTCAAATCTAATTTAAATATCGGATTTTTTCCCCGCGTAAGAAATCATCTTCGTATATCATGAATTTGCTACGATATCGATTTAAATTTGAAGAAATAATTTGATCATTTATCAAAATTAATCTTGGAAAGAATATAAAAAAAAAAAATACTCCGCTCTGTTAAGATGTGAACAATTTGTAAGTCAAATTCATTTTTTTTTTTAATTATATTATAGTAAATATTATATCATCATTAATAGTCGAAAAATTGTGCGATCGTTCAAAAATCGAATAATTAAAGTTGGTCGATTAATTTAAACTTCTTTACATGTGTATATGCATAATACTGTTTCAAATTCTTAATATTATATCGTTTCTCTGATTTGCTTTTACGCGAGAAACGTAACAAATTTAATTAAATAACACGTTCTATTTTAAAAACATTAAATTGTGCCTAAGAGACAGCGTAAGAAATCGCGAAGAATAGCGCGATTTATTTAAGGACGCCGTATATATATACTTGCTTCGTTTTTTTAAACGATTAAACGACAATCTACGTTACAAAAAAATTATTTTTTCCACAGCCTTGAATCAATTATTCCAACACACTCGAAGGGAACGTGTATCTACGTGATAAATTTCTTTTATCACGTGTCGTATGTAAATACATTGTCACCGTCAAATCCAACGATATACATTTACAGTATAATATAGATATATATGTACATTCGTAAAAAATATTTAATCAATTATCTATCTCATAATATTTCATTATTCATATTGAAAAATGAATTTTCTTCTTCTTTTTATTTATAATATATAGAGTCCAACAAAAGCAAAAATTGGTGTAGATAAAAGATATCAATTTTTCTATCGTCGCTCTATCTCTGTCTCGTTTCATAAATCGTAATTTTTAATTTTTATATATGCCATATATGTAGCCAAGTTTTGCGTTAACCTCTTATCGATCGATCTTTCAAAGATTACAATTATTGATTACAGCCTGTTCAACAAACACTCACCCTGCCGCTGCTATCAGCCATATTGACGTCCATGCTTCCAAATCCAAATTTTCGCACTTGAACTGCGATCTCATTGAGGACTCCATCGTCGGCATCTCTTGCTGCCCTCAGAAGGGCCGCTGGGCCCTCGGAGGTTACTTCCCACGAGGACGGCACTTTCGTGACGATATCCACCTCGCGCACGCTACGATCTGATCAATAGAAATATATTTGTTTAAAACTATCTTTGCTAAATAAAAGAGATATTTAATATCTTTTAAATGTCTTCCTTCGTGATAGACTATTTACGCGTTTAATCCGAAATGAAATGATAATAAGTAACAACAATTACAAAAATACGTATAAATGATTGGCAATGATCTTTCGAGAATCAAACTCGAAAATAGAAGAAACAACGAATATCTTGATAACTCGTTATACGTTGATATATAATTTATTTCTCTCTATAAAATTTTCACGGGATCAACGTTAAAACCGGATTAATTTTTAATCCCACCTTTTTTATATATATATATATATGATTTACGGTTTAGAGAAGATACGCCGGTATATCTTTCCGCCCGTGGCCGTTATTGTTCGACTTCTATTTTCCACGTTTGTTTATACGGCTCGTATTGTGCGCCGTATGCAATATTCCGTTTGATGAATTTCCAAAGAAAACAGCGACCACGCAAACTCCGCCGCCACAGTGAAATCGAAAAACTGTATCCGGCTTGGAAATTGATGCATTACCGATCGAGGATATTAAATGAAGTTTACCGACGAGAAAATGAATGGAAACGAGAGAGATAAAGAGAGGGAGGGGGAAGAAGCGCATACCTTGCAGAACACCCTTGTGATACACCTTGGCCTCGTGAACGGCGGCTCTTTTATAAGGTGCCCGTTTCTCCTCGAAGCTCGTGTCCGAACTGAAGGACACCGATTTCTTTACACCGTTCTTCGTCTTCCTTCGCTCGACCAGCAACGTTTGCACGCACGGGGCGCGTTGAAACGGATCGAGATCGTTGTTCAAGAACGAGAGATAACCTCTGAAACTCGGATACCTTGCCGAGCTCGCCTCGCCGCAACAATTATTCTGCTTGCTCAATTTCCTCTCTCTAATTTTGTTCGCCGGATGGGCGAAATTGGACAGAAACGCGGAAGACTTTTTCAGAATGCTCTCCTCGCCCGGTCCTCGCCCGATCTTCCGCGTTGTCGAAAGACCTGAAACGACCATCCATCCCCTCCTCCTCATCTCCTCCTCGTCACGAGCACACCTCTCTATATTTCGGCGATAACTCGAATACCTCGAGGCGCCAACAATACGATACGACACGATCCTATTGTCGTTATTCAATATTCGAGCGAGCGTCACGTGTTTTAAAAATAGAAACAATGGCGGTGACATGACATAACGTAGGTGAGTGTATTCGAAAAAAAAAATCGGCTCGCGAATGGAGAAACCTTTCTTCTGAAACGCGCTCTCGAAGAAGAAAAAAGACAGAAAGGGTTAAAAAGAGATTAAAAAAATGAGAAAGAAGATCGAAACGAATCGATTTTCAGATCGGGGGGAGGAAAATATCGGCTTACCTTCTCTCAGGTAATCGGGTACCGAGAACGATTTTCTTATAGGCCGTTGAGCTTTCCTGAAATCCGTCGATCCTTCCGCGTGTTTGGCGAGCCTCTCGCAGGGGATGTCTCCTTTCAGAGACAAGTTGTCCCGATGTTTTGCGCGAGTACTCGCGTTCACGGTCGGCTTGCTCCTCTTGTCAACGATGCACGGCGCCGGCGTCTCTCTCGCGGTGCAGTTATTTCGAGCGAGATCCCCCCTAGAGGCGACGAGGCTGTATTGGTTCACGGGGCAACTATTGCCCTTTGCCAATGAGTTGCACTTTACTCGCGCCGTCTGGACACCGTTTACCTGCCAGTTGTCCTCTTGCAAAGGCCGGCTATTATTCTGTTTCGATCGTTCATGTCAGACGAAGATTTTTCTTTTTTTTTTTCTTTTTTATCTTCGAAAAATGAATATCTTAAAAAAAGGTGATTGAAAGGTTTCTTGATTTGATTTGGGGGGAAGGGAAGAAGGAACGTAGGGCTGTTGTGAAGATATATACGTGTATATGAAATTGTTTGGATGTAGATATGCAATATTAATAAATACGTTCGAGGATATATATATATATGTACATTGTGTAGACGCGTGTCGCGATAACAGAAATTGTTTATCTTGTTAGATTTATTGCTACTCGTGTTCAGTTTTCGTGTTTCGAGAGAATTGCTACGAATTTCGTGCTCGATTGAAGATATTTCGCTGACTCGTTGCAACACGTGTGACGTATCTCGAGAATCGCTTAAAATTTAATACGACAGAAATAATCTATATCTTTTTTTTTTTTTTCACCTGTAATAATATTTTAATCAAAAAATCTTCCAATACCTCTTTAATACCTTGGATACCCTTAGATCCTCCCTTAGTCAATTTCTTATTTGATTATAATTTGAAATATTTCCCTTAAAATCCTGTTTTCCTCCTTTCTCTTTTCCTTTTTTTTACATTATTCAATTCTCGAAAACGAAACTTGAAAACGATCGAAGGTAGTAATAGAGGGGGCGAGAAAGGGGGAGAAGTGGAGAAAAACTTACGAGAAGAGAAAGTTCTACTTAAACGGAGGTGAGGAGGAGCGAGTTGGCGTGTCGAAAATCGATCATTCCCGCGGAAACTCTCGGAAATCACTGACGGTGTCGCGGATCACGGCACGGCCTGCGCCTCCTCTAATGTATTCGGAGTAGGAGAAGTTCCTTGAAAAGCGAATCGTGCCTTCCGGATCGCTTCGCGAGACGTGCACGCGAGTTCTACCGCATCCGTTTCGACTAAACGCTATTTATACGCCGGTTAAATCGTTGCGTTGCCCGGTCGTTGGTGCCTCGTCAACGATGCGTACACGCGCATCATCGAACGAAGCTTACAACCAAATACCCCGCACACCTTCTCTCCGACCGCCGTCAACCTGTTGTTCCTTTTCTCCCCCCTTCACGATTTTCTCGCCGAGCCAATTACTCGCGTTTGCCCTCGATATTTTTGTATTCGCTTCGAACGTGAGTAAACTTGAGAGAGAGAGAGAGAGAGAGAGAGAAAAATCCGCCATTGAAATTCACGACATACGTATAAATCAGTCGGGATCGGATCACGATTTCGATAAATTTTCAAGATTTTTCGATCTTCCTTTCTCCATTTTCTCTTTGCCTTTTTAAGTAAAATAAAATAAAAAACGCTTACTCGAGTGATGATATTCCGTTGTACGGTGGACACACGTTGGAGCATGATGTCTCCGGTATCGCGTTTCTTTCCACCTGTTAAGGACTCTCTTCCGTATGTCTCGTTGCACGATCCGTTCCCTTGATTCTTAGTCATCGTTGATCTAGATTCCATCGAGAGGATCGTGGAGGATCGAGTGAAGGGGACCTGTCATTGCCTGCTATTCGTCATTGCAATCGTGTGATTGAAGTTTACGTAACACCTTACCGGCGCGTAGATTATCTTTGAACGGAGGGTCGCGTTTGAACTTGATTTGTTTGTTGTCGATGTATCAATGTATCCATGGCGCGGGCTCTCAAGAGAACTTCACTCGATAGGCGTCCACTCGTCCTTTTGCCGCGTGCTTATTTTGGCGGCATTTACACTCGCTCGCTCGTAGTCGCCGTCGTAGTCTTCGTCGTCGTCCTCGTCGCCTCTGGCGTTAAGCCAATATTTTCAATTCTCTTACTGCACGGGAATCTATCGATTATGCCATACTCGAAAACTTGCCCCGGCCTGTTTATCGATTTTACAAAATTATTACGGTATCTACCGTTTGAGAGAGCGCATATGGCCGGCGAGCTATTTTAGCAAGTACGCCAGATTACGCGGAATACGCTTTCCACGAAAGAGGGAAAGAGAGAGAGAGAGAGAGAGAGAGAGAGAGAGAGAGAGAGAGAGAGAGAGAGAGAGAAGAGGGGAAAAGAAAAGAGAGCGCGAAAGTAGGGGGGGAATATTGGAAACGTAATAAATCGTCGCGGCGAATAATTGGAATATGATATAATTTGTTGTACTTTCATTAGCGAGTTTCCGTTAAATTCGATTTAACGATCGAGAGACAATGGGAGAGCCGATGTTTTCCTTCTTGAGAATGGATTACGTGACTGCTTTGGCGAGAAACCAGAGTACATAATTTACGTATAGTTCGCTCGATGCGGTCGTAAAGTGAAACGAGCGAAATACTACAGATGTTCCGTCTGCCGAAATAAGCAAATTGAAACGTTATAGAAAGTCACGAACTCGAGCGTAGTTCAATGCCATTACTTGGGACGAATCATATTGTTCAACGCGAGTCGAAGAAATAGAAAAAAAAAAATCTTGTGAAGAGTTTTTATTCGAAGTAATATTTAAAAAAAAAATGAAAGAAATTTTATCGTACGTACAACGATATTAATTATGTTTAAAAATTTTAACAGTAACAATGGAGATAGATACTATTGGATACTATTTTATTAATTTAATTAACAATGCGAGTCGAGCTTGTCTAAATACGAGCGAGCGATTAATGAAAATTCATAAGGGTGCTCGACAAACTCGATGAAGGTAATCAATGTCGATAGCACGCGCGCGAGTTCATCAGGAATAATAATAATAACGTTACGTTGATAATTCACGTGTGACATTGTGTCATTGACACATTTTGCATACACGATAATAACCTCACAAATTCGACACTCGACGTCTCAATCGGTTTTCGGTATCTACGTAAGAACGTTCTTTTCCATACTGGCCAGGCTTCGGTTTAATTTTAAACGAGGCCGACGTCAAACTGGTGGGATTCGTAAATTTGTCGCTTAATATCATGACCGTGATTCGTTACCGAGTCTTTAATCTGTAACGAAGCGCTGTAAATAAACAGACTATTCCGCGGTGGACAATTCGATCGCTCATCTCTCAAGAGAAAGACAAAAATTCTATCTATTTCCTATAAAAATCGAAACGATCATAACCGACTCGAAGACTTTTTCCCTCCAAGACCTTGTAACTTTCTTTTTATAGCTTTTTCGTGGCAATAAAAAAAGCATCACTTATCAATTGGCTCTATAATTCACGTTTTATGTGCGTTTACTCGATCAGAATATTGAATGAAAACTTTTTACTTGTTTCGAGTGTCGTTCCGAACATCACTTGTGAAGTTGAACCGACGAATTTATAACATTCTACGCTTCTCGAATTTAAGGATCACTTTAAAGAAATATTTACCTGTTTCTATTTTCGTTTATCGATGTATGATACGAAAATAGCGCGAATATTCTTGTTCAAAAGATCTAAGACTTTCTAAAATGCATATATCTCGTATACGATATTAAGAATTTGTTTAAAGAATATTTGCACATCTTTCGATGAAAAATTTACCGGATATAATGTAATGGTAGTACGTTTGTAATCGTAGACTGCGTATCGGAAATACAATAAAAGAGATAATCCACGACGCCATTAATCTTATCGCTCAACTATTCAAACTAATCTATTCGCGTAAGGGTTGATTGGATACTGGGCTAAAATTTAATTCGCACCCTCGCCCTGAAAGTATCACGAGAGTCGTATCGCACGCTCTCTCATCCGCGCAGTCGCAGATTTAGGCCAGATACTCTTTAATATCTCGTCAAAACGAAAAGATTCTGAACGCAAAAATTGTATAACTTTTTCTTTTTCATTTTATTTCCGTAACTTGTATACGGCTGTCAAAATGCGTTTCCATCTGAGTGAACAAAATGAAACGGAAAAAAAAAACTTCCACGATTTTTCTAACATACCTACCGAGTTTCGTTCGATCTATTTTCGTGCAGTAACGCATTATCCATTGGGATGTGTGCACGTGTTCGGAAGTTTCAATGATTCAAGTTTAATTAGAAAACTAAAATTTCCAAAAATAGTATTTACCTACATTAGCAGTTACTTATATATTTTACAGATATAGTGAATTTTAAAGCAATCTGCCGAAAACTAATCTTTTCCGGCTTGATTAAAATGTATATACTATCCAATACTGTCTTACGAATCTAGAATAACCATTTAATTAGAAATACCTAGTTCAAATATAGTATAAATTCTTAAAATATTCAAGATAGAAACGTTTAGTTTCGATTACAAAATAGTAATATGTTAGAAAAATGTAAAACACGAGCTATTCGATATTCGTGATAAATGAATTGCAATTTTGAAGAAAAATAGTATGCGTGTAAAAGAAACAACTACGTGATGACGTGTTATTAAAAGAAAGCTATTATCCGCATGCAATTTATTCAAAATGGTATTCGAAGGTTTTTTATTATATGGATTTTACATAGATTTCAATATAGATACGATTCGTTATTCCGTATCGGAGAAATGTCAGAATTCATTAGTTCAAGGTTGACTTAACCTTAAATTTAGTTCGACTTTCGTGTTGATCGTAAAACTCGTTTAAAACCGTTCTCTGTAAAAAATGATTGAATTTTTGCTGGATAATAAATCAAGTCAAGTTAATGTATCTTGAAAAGCTGTTTTACGTTATCGACTAAAGGTATAGACAAAATAATTTTGATTAAAAATCAGGAAGAAACAATAATACGTATTTCAAAGTGTAATACTATATTTCGATAACATAGAGAGTTTACATCGAGGATGAACTATTTGATGCAACGCTAATAGTATAGCGTGCATAAATCTTCCTCATGCTGGCAGCCCTTTAATTATGAAAAAAATAGCAATATCGTGGCAATGCTGATCAGGTGGAAAATACAATAATTGTGAGATGATTCTCATATGTTTTACGTACGATACTTATTTGGCAACAATCAACAACTGGGATCAAAGGTCACGAGTGGTATAGTAACGATTATTTAATATTTCAAAATTTCAATTCATCAACTTTATGATTCGTCTCAACGAGGTACCATTTATAATCGTTGATCCCAAAAATTACGTAAGAATTTTTACACGGTTCCCGTGCTTACGTACACTTTCAAATTCCTTCACACGCGAAAACAATGCTTTCTCCTTCATCACGAGATGCTTTTTAATTCGTGGCAGTAAAAATTCTAATGTTGTGCATCGAATACACGATACATTAAAAATCAAACATGAATAAAACGTTAACTTAAACGCTTAAAAACGAGATCATTGGTAAAAATACAAACTTCCTTAACACTATCGATCCAAATACAGTATACATGTATCTATGTATCTGCATAACGAAGAACGAGTTTCACATTGAAAAGAACAAAATAGTTTAAAATAAATCGGATCGAGTTTTGTAATTCTCGACGTGTCAAAAATGTAAATATATATATATATATAGGTATAAAGGCATCGACATTCTTCTTGGGGAGTACTTATCGATTTGAAATGCTATAGAAGATGAGGAAAACAGGCGCTTTACTGAAAAAGTACAACTTGAATAAAATTTAGAGAAAAGCATCCGTCGAACTTGCAATTTTCCGAAAAATCTTGAACTTTTCACTCGAAACAAAATTTATTGAACCCACGAAGCAGGTACCCAGAGCGGTTCCGATTCAACCCGATGAACAGCGTTCACCAGTTGTTCAAACGCAATAGGAAGATCGGCGTTTACGATTACTTCGTCGAAAAGATGAGTGTACAGAAATTCGATCCTTGCAGCGCTATGCAAAATTTCACTAAATTCTTCGTCCTGCAAAGCAATGTGAGTGAGTGAATATTCGTTATATAAAATAACACGTATAATTCTGAATAAAAAAATGATTGATTTACCGTGAAACCCCGAGAGTTATTCTCGTCAAAAGTTGACCTTGCTCTAGCATCGTTCCTAGTTTCTTTCAATATCTCGAACCTCGGCGGTTTTATATATATCACGTACGGCTTTGTCTGCGGAGTTCGAAGCATCTTCAAGGCTTGGTAATGAGGATTCAATAGACAAACGTATCCGGCGTTTATCAACGAGCTCACGCTTTCAGAACTGGTACCGTACAAGTTCCCTTTATATTCCCCGTATTCTATAAACTTGCCAGCCTCGATCTCCTCCTCCATCTTTTCACGGCTAACGAAGTGATACTCTTTCCCGTTGATTTCGCCTGGTCTCGGTTGTCTCGAGGTATCTGAAGAGCGTCACGGAAATTAATTTAAACGACGAAAGTAAGAAAGAAGAATTGCTATGCTTGACAGATGAGAATAATAACGCAGCGTAATTGGAATTAAAAAGAGATTAAAAAAAGGAAACTTACAAGGGACAGGCGTCTTGTACTTATCGGGGTCGGTGGCCATAAGCCGCCTCTTGAGCTCGTTCCTTCCGACACCGGGTGGCCCGATCAGAACCACCGGTCGGTAGAGACCCGGTCTTGGATAGAGTTTTGCGACCTCTTCGTAGGTCGGTATTTCTTCCCGGTCGAAATCGTCGTTCTCTGCAGCGTCATACATGATTTTTTTAGTTTTTACTCCCTGCAAGTTGCACTTTGTAGGCGAGGCGTGTAAAGAGGTAGTGGGACGGGGGCACAATGCGGGCAAAGGCACTGGAACAGAACACAAGCCTAACCGACGGTTAGGTCGTCAGGCCATCATCCGTTAAGAAGGGCAGCCGAGACCAGTTTCATCGGGTTGTTTCCGCTTTTTTTTTTTTTTTTTTTATTTTTCGAGTCGTCGTTCGTTCACGATTAAGCAGATTATTATTGCAGATCGCCTCGACATGCAGTTAAACTTAAATGAGATTAGACTTCTGCGAGATGAGAAATTATGAGATGTTGTTGACGCTCTCGTCAAAGTATGGGACGAGGTAATTTTTTAATTTTTATCACATTCGATTATGTTAATGGATGAAAATTGAAGATACAAACAGAAGCATACGTTATTATTTACACTCAATTGTAAACTCTATCACTTACTCATATTGTCATCGTCGGTTTTCTCCTTTTGTTGTCTCTCGAGGATAATTCGTCTCTCTTGCAAGGCTCTACTTGGGATCAAACCTGCCCTCATATTTCGATCACCTTCGCGTCTAGCTTGCCACCTAATTTCAAACGAACACGAGGATTAGAAATAAAATTCACGATACAATAAAATTCACACGAATATATAATAATTCGAACTCTCTCTACCAATAAGCATCATCCTGACTGACGATGTGAAGGACATCACCCTTAGAAAAATCTAATCCCGCCTCTTTACAAGGTATGTACGGATCCTCAGCAGCTTTGTACGAAAAATGCGCTCTAACTCGTACCTAAGTGTAACGAAATAAAATTGAAATAAAATTGTTATTAAAATTATTAAAAAAAAAAAAAAAAAAAAAATTCCAAAAGTCGTTGACATCAAATCGAACGAAGTGAAATATTACCTTGCTCTCACGAATTCCTCCTTTACTATCGGCAGGCACTATTTTAAAGGTAATCGTACCCTCGGAATTTTGCTGAAAGGGAACATATATCGTTTTACATAGGAATCGTTTAGAAGTCAAATATATATAAGCGATAAATATCGATAATGGTATTTATTGGCGCGAAAATAATATAAAAGCTGCGACTCACCAATATCTTAAGAACACAGTTCGGAGTCTTTCCTTCAACGCTGATGCCGTTGACCTCGCAAACTTCGTCTCCAACGTGAATGAGGCCGGATCTATCGGCCGCGCCGCCATGCATTATTCGTGCTATCACGATCTTGCCGGTGACCTCGCATGTTTTAATGGTCGCCCCCTATTGTCAACGTGTAAACTGATATTTTTCATTTGCGGTTGCGAGATGCGCAATGTAGTGCCTTCGTTTTTCTTAAAAAAAAAA